GTAATAATGGGCATAACGACGACTCGCTGGTAGGTTAAGTCACGCGAGTTTTTCCGCGATGACCGAGTTCGAGTGGTGGGGCAGGCGGAAGTGGCGCCGAAGTAGTGGAAAAAGTATGAACTAGTGGAATATCTATAGTTCGAGTTATGAGAATGAAGCGATTAGATAGATTTGGCAAAACGGTTTTTTCCTCTGTGGTAATCGTTTTCGTAATAGTTTTCGTCGGTTTCGATAAATAAAATAAATAGAAAATCATGATTTGAAAATAGAAAAAAAAAAAAAAAAAAAATAAAGAACGTGGCATAAGGTTAATAAGGAAGGATCATTGATTGATTTCTTGGAATTCTGAGATGGAATTTAATGACTTTTTTTTAAAATAGAATTTTCATTTTTATGATACTTATTATCGAGTCAGTTAAAAATTAACTGAAATAAGTAGAAAGTGGATAATTAATTGTAAATGATGATTAATTTTTAAATTTCAAATTAATTTAACGAACTGTAATCAAATTTAATTTTTTTTTTTTCCATATAGAAGAAGAAATCCTAATTATGAAAGGTTAAAATATTATTATTTTTATTTTAATCTTAAATTAAATGATTTTATGAAACATGAATTGAACGAGTCGTAGGAACATTTAATTAATATATAAATTTATATTATAATTTCTTGTATTTATTCTTGCTCAAACAATAAAAAATTTTTTTTTATTTGTTCAATCTATTTGATCATTATATTTGGTAACTTACTGGTAAAATACAAAAAGTAATTAAAAGTATTAACAAATCGAAATGGAAGCGTGCATTATTACGTGCATTATTATCGATTTCTTAACCGTTTCTTTGAAAGATATGCAAATCTTATGCATACCGTTCAAATGAAATTAATTACTTATTTCTTCCAACGTATAGAAAAGATATAAAAGTTGGAAGCCATTTTTCATTGGAATAATCAAGCTTGTCCATAAATTTCTTTCAACTTTACTCGTATATCTAGCTATAAATTAAAACAACCGATATGTAAATGAAATTACTATCGCTAATAAAAACGATAATTTTACAATAACTGTTCTATTAATGTCGAAAGTTTTACTTTTAACTATACAACTGTACACCTGTCAAACACCTGACAAATTGACAAATCTATTACTTATTTTATTTTATTAATTTCCACCTGCAAAATAATCGTCGATATCATCAAAATACATTTCTCTTTATTAAGAATTTTACAATTTTACAAATCACAATCGATTCTTCAACTTTCGATTAAGTCACGATTTGTCACATTTTCAGTTAAATTTTTCCAACAAGAGATCATCATTAAAATTATTATTATTATGGAATTGAACGTAAAAGGGTCGATACGGACGGAAAGTATTCGAGCAGTACGCAAGACGCGTCAAGTCTCGCGATCTGGAATTCGAATGAACGAACGCGAATCGAGCGTGTCGCGCACGAAGAATGAACGAGAAGGGAGCCAAGCGTAGAGCTGAAAATGAATTATGGAGGAATGTGGCGAAAAATATGTACTGCTTCGATTGGCGCGCGCGCACATCTTTTCCCACGAGTCGTGGAGCGCGGAGTGCTCCCGATCAGAAATAACGAATGCATTAACCTTACTACTGTTAGATAGGCCAGGAATAAGTGGAGCTGCACGAATTTGAAATCTTGAAACAAATACAAAGTAATATTTTATTCAGAAAGAAATCGAGTCAATACGTTGGAACGTTGTTGCAAACGGATAAGTCGAGTTTTGGCGAGTTGTATTGTGAAATTTGAATAATGGAGAGGAAACTGTAAATCGATATTTTATGTGCCAAGTGAAGGATGGTTAGGGAGGAATAGAATATTTTTTAGAAATAGTTTTATGATGCTTGATGTATTTTTTTCATGGAAACTAGGGTTAGAAATCTGTCTTTTCTTAATTAATTATTTTAGTTTAAGAATATAAAGTTAAATAGTTATAAGAATTAAAAATTGATTGAGTTAAAAATAATGCGTAAAATATTAATATTCTTTCTCGTTTATAAATATATAAATATTTATTCGTCCGTGATGCGTTTTAATTCTCTAAAAAGTTCATCTTCTTTTCCATATTTTCTAATATTAGAAACGATGATTTAGAAGTCAAAATTAAGATTATTTTTCAATAATGAATCATAGAGAGAAACATCGGCGAATTTTCAAAATAGCGAGTACAAAAAAATCTTCCACGTAGTTAAATGACATTTAACAATGCTTCTCGTTATTGTGCTTAATAAAAATTGATTCGTTCTAATTGTACACGATTCTATAGTCAAATTTATTGAAGAACGAAAATGAGTTTTCCACAAACGAGTTTTAAAAACATTTTAAAAACTTTTGAAAACACTGATATAGAACAGAAGATCATTTAGCAATTTATTCAATAAGCAATCTCCAACGAAATTTCGCCTACAATCAACATCTATCACTCAGGATCTTAATTGACAACTAATTTTTACGTATCAAACATTGTCCAAGTTTTTCGCTTTTCAGATATTCTTTTCCAACGTAAATAAATGTATGTAATGTTTTCGAATTTTTTTAGAATTGCTCTACATTTATGGAAAATTTAAAATATACAAAAATTTATAGAATACTAATATGATTTGAAAGATGAAACAGATTTTTATTTCAGTTCCATTTCTATAATCGTTAATAAAAATTTTCAGAAATTCCTTCAAAAATTATTTATTTTATAATCAAAATGTAATTCATGTAATGTTTTCGATTTTTTTTATAATCAGATTACTCTACATTTATAGAAAATTTAAAATATCCAAAGTTTATAAATTTTTATTTCAGTTCCATTTCTACAATCGTTAATAAAAAATTTGTCTTCAAAAATCATTATTTCCTAACTTAAATTTAAAAAAAGGACAAATCATTAATTTTCTCCATTCGTGTTTATTAATACTTCTCTTCCTTTATTTAATAGTACTGCTTTTCAAATATTCCTTCAAAAGTCATTCATTTTAATCGAAAAATTGCTTGTAACTGCTAACCATTCTTCAAACTTTCGATCTTTAAACCTCTCTCTCTCTCTCTCTCTCTCTCTCTCTCTCTCTCTCTCTCTCTCAAAGGATACACGTAAACGCTTGCATTTTCCAACAAAAGAAAAATCCGATGACAAAAGTAACTCGATCCCTTCGAATCGAACACGCTAATAGGTAACGGAAGGGGAGGAAGGGGAAGGAACGACTTCCGGCCCACTCGATCCCGATTCCGGGTGCGAGGTATTCACCTCAATAATCAAACGGAATTATGCGCCGTGGGGCAACGTACTAACCGATCCCACAAATCAAAATATATATCCACGAGGTTCGAGGTTCGCTGCGAACGTCGATCGAACCCTCTCCGGAACCGATGAATCGAAGGGTGATGAAGATTCGGTTATGTCGGTGGGATAAAGGGAGGTCGATCAGGCGTGTTGCAACGATACGAAGAGAAGAGAAGAAGAAGAAGAAGAAGAAGAAGAAGAAGAAGAAGAAGATAATAACGGAATAAAAGAAAGAGTGCAGGCGCGGTGGAGAACAGGTAGAGAATTTCCGGGACGCTTTGGATACCCTCACCCCTTTCGCTCGCATAAATCGAACGACAAACGAACATTAACGCGGGGAAAGGAAGGGGGGGGGGGCGAAAGGCAGGGCACGGGCCCTTTAAAGACCGCAACGTACTTTAATTGTATCGTTGAGACTCGGCCGATTCGAGGAGAGGAGGGGAAATGTTTTTGGCATGGAAACGGAGCAGAGTATGCGCGCCGTGTATTTTGAGCCGTATTTGGGCCGTGGCAGGGGCCCCGGCACTGTTTCTATTATTGTCTCTGAAAGGGTGGCAGCCCCCTTCTTTGCCTTTCGCTCTACCCTCGCATACACGATTCTTCTATTCACGAGGAGGAGATCACGAACCGATCCACCAACGGCATTCATTCATCCTCCACTTGGATTCGAGAAGAAGTGACAACTTCTCTCTCTCTTACGGCCACGGTGTGTCTGTCTGGACCAGATGGGAGGGGGACAATGCAGGGGAATCAAGGGCAACGGTGCGATGGGTGTGGGAATCCCGGGTGAAACAGAGCCGCAACCTGGCTTTACTCTCAGCAAGAAATGCATGTTAATGCGAGGAGGATGGAGAGCGACAGCAGAAACGAGGATTTCGAGGAATTATTTGTTGCTGTTTGGGGGGCGAGATTTTCTATTCGAATCTCTTCCCATGCTCCTGATGTTGTACGAATATTTTTTAAAATGTAGAAACGAAAATTGATTATTTTTGATTAAAAAAAAAAATAAATAAGAATTAACAAAATCTTGCATAGAAATGTATTTAACGTTTAAATGAAAATTTCTTACGTCACGCGATCTAAAAAGTTTTAGCACCATATAAACGAGATCCTCTTCACATTCGATTTAAACATCTTTTAAAATAAAAAAGTATTATAACAGAGAACATAATCTCCTCTTTACCTTCTCCTTTGAATCCTAAATCAAGTCATCGATTCAAATAAAATCTTATCAGATCGCAGAACAGAAACCGATCGATGCAACGTCAAATTTCGTCATTAATCGAACGAAATCCCCTTCAAATCACCTATTTCTTCTTCTTTCCTATCCCTTCGAGCGCACAAGTGCACTATGGAAATTAACGATGCGAAAGGGAAAAAACACGGTGTGCAGCCGCGCAGCGGGAAATTTGAATGTGAATTCGAGCTGCGTCGCGTGCTGCCATGGATCTGGGAAGGGAATTTGCATACCGAGCGGAAAGGCACGGATGAAAGCTCGTGGCTGCTTTTGTTGGGAACGTGCTACACCTTGGGGACGATTTCTTCGATATCCGTAACGGCCATTACGGTTTTTAAACGGTTTTCTGCATCGAAGCCCTGTCATTTCTCGAGTCACGTCATTCGGGGTAAAAATTGGATACACACGAATGAAAACTTGATGGATTCGGAAGAATCTGAAGAAATTTGGAAACGTACGTACCTTGTGTCGTGGACTGTTCAATCCACCCCGAAAGCCTTCCATTTAAAAATCGAAACCGGCCCTCGATATCCCACTTTTCCACCTATAAACGAAACAATATTATTAAATTGTAAAAATAAAATATACGTTTGCTTTTATAACGATATACACGTTAATAAATTTCTCTCTAATCTATACTATACTATTTCATAATCTCACTTGATTATAACAATAAATTATTGCTGATATTTAATAATATCGATTAAAATAAATCAAAATATTAAAACAAAAGTAAAAATAAATAAATAAAACCGATCCATTTTTGCCTTCGTCCAACACTCGACCTTCCATAAATTTATTCAAACGATGTCGCGACACGCGCGACCCGGACGATCCACTCGTTCGAATCACCTCGAGCGAAAGCTTCGTATCATCGAGATTTATTCCGGCACGCGCGAAAATAAAAAAAAAGAAAGGAAGGAAGGAAGGAAGAGAGGAGAGGAGGAAGGCGAAAAGATGCAAATCGGGGAGGAGGGCTCTCGCCGCGTGCCAAACGGATGTCGCAAGATCCTCGCGCTCGACGAGGATCGAACACGAGAGGGTGAGGAGGTTGTTATTCAAATAGCAATGGGTGGCGGAGATTAGAATTAGAATCGACGATTTTTGGACACGTGCCTGCGTGCATCGGGCGGTTCCTCGAAAGGGAGGGAAAATATTCAAATTTTCCCTGATCGGGTTGGGAGAGACAGGAAGTGGCGCTTTTGTGGCCCGTGATTTATTTCCACGATGCGCCCCCGGATTATAATTAAAATCGGGAACACGAGGCTGGAACGTGTGCGAGGAATTTATTTCCATAAAGTAAAGTCGAAGTAAAGGGCGAACTCGAACAGCCACTGTATCCACACCCGTGCTCGATTCTTTTGGCCTCTGCCAGCCAAAGAACAGCTCAAGCTGAATTAAATATTAAGTAGGGTAATTTTTTAAAAAGTTTTTTTAAAATTTTAAATTATTTCAATTAATTATTTCTTCCCTCGATTTCGACTATAATAAAACCGGATTACGAACCATTCTACCTTCCATTCACTCCGATATTTTCAACCCGTCCCACAGAGATCTGGAAATCGCGTCTTAATAAAATAGAATAAAATAAAATCAAAGCCGATCCGAAGGGAGATCGCCCGAATAAAACCTCCTCCTTCACCTCCCTCTTCCCAAGTCGATCGCCCCGATCGTTATACCAACGATCTATCCGACGCCATTCGAGTCGAGGGGAATCGCGTGAATAAAGTACAATCGTCGCGAAACTCCCCTGCTTTAAACCTGTTCGAATCCCGTGTAATCGTCACCCACGGATCCTCCTTCAACGACACCCTCCCCCGCCCGTGCACTTACAATTATCGTCATCGTCACCCACGAGTTTCCATACGCGTCAACGACGAGGGAGTAAAGTTGCCGATCGGGCGATCGAGGGCCGCGTAAAAGCAGCGGAGACACAAGAGACGACGATCGATCGACCGATCGATCGACCGATCGATCGGTGGTGCGCGCCACGATTATTGCCCATCGTCGATCTCCGTGCCGTGGAACTTCGTTAACGGGATAAAAAAAAGTCGTGGTCGTCGTTTCGCGGAACGATCGGCCATTCCAGGGAGGGAGGGGGAGGAGGGAGAGGGGAGGTCGATCGACGACTATTCCGGAAGTGGAGGCGCTGCCCACGGATGGGACGAAGACGATGACCACAACCGGGGAATCGATTAGCCGTGTCACGATTTTTCGCGTGTAAACTTGGACAAATTGCCCGGTGAGGTGGGTTGTAAGGGTTGTGTTTGAAGAAAGAGAGATTTCTTGGAGGGGATTTGTTGTACTTCTCGGACGATTCATCGTGAATCGAAGAGAGAGAGAGAGAGAACAATTTATGTCCTTATGTCCTTGTTTATATCAGATTCGCGTATCCCCATGAAAAGGGATAATATTAGGTATATTCTTGTTAATTTTATCAAAGCGATACTCTTCATCATCCCTTTCCCTTCATCTTTTTTTATCACGTCAAGTTTTACAAACCTCGTAAAAAAAGTATCTTTTAAACTAATAACTTTAATAATTAGTTAAAATATTTAAAAAATATTAACTTAAATATTAACTTTAATAATTAAGCTTAAATAACTTTAATATGATAATAACTTATAGATATAATTGTTCTTTATTTTAATATTTACAAGCAATTGAAACATCAAAATATAATAATTTAATTCCATTTAAAAAGAAACGAATATATCGTTTATTCGTGATTTAGTGAAAATCACTAAATCCGTTCTTTCGAGAAATATTTCAAAACAAGTCGAGAGAAGAAGCATCCTGTATCCACTCATCCCAGGAACAATCCGCCTCCGAGTTCGAGTCAAACGCAACGTTTCGCGTGTTTTCTTTTTGTGTTAGAAAGGAGATTCGTATCCATCGAACGGTGTTCCTCGGATGGGATATTCCTTATCGTTAAGATACGCTAATGTGTGTCGAGGAGATTACCGGAATATTTACTGATATTCGTGCGGGAAGGATGTACGGGTTGCTTTGAACGAGATAAGCTTGACGATTTTGTAAATTAAGAAACTGTGGGATCGTAACTTATGGACAGGAATGGTTTCCTTCTTATTCGTTCTGAAACGGATAGCCGGATGAACGATTTGGTGGAGGATCACGATATAAGGAATTTACGTTTGTTGGATATATTTAGATCGATCAATCGTTAGATCGATGCGTGTTAGAAGTAGAAGAAAAATTTTTTATATAAATTAATGAAATTGATTTTCAGAATTTCAACTTTTCTTAAATTAATAATTTACATGTGCATAAAACTTCATTTCAATATCAAAAATTAACATTTTGGATATAAAATCTGATAGGCCTTACGATTATTTATAAATTATCGTAAAAACTTTTATTCACGATATATTTTTTCACCGTATATCCATGCTCGATCGATAAAAATATCCACGATTCATCCACACTTTCACAAAATCGTGAAAAAAAAAATCTCTTCTTCCTCCAGATCTGATCGAGAGGATCGGTACAAAGTACAACAACGGGGTATTTAAATGCAAAATTGTGTTCCTTCCCCCCTCTCTCTCCCCCCCGTCCAGGTGATAAAAACTTCCAAGAAGCAAGAAATAAAGGGGGGCGAATCCGAGATCGTCGATCGATCGTTCGCAGCCTCCTCCTCCTCCTCCCCCCTCAATAATTATTCGTCGTCGCCACCCACGAGTCGAGGCCTGCGTCTCTCTCTCTCTCTCTCTCTCTCTCTCTCTCTCTCTCCTGAGGCTCCTTCTCTCGAGGAGAAAGAAATCGAACGGAAGAAACGAAAACAGAAAGGAACGACGCGACGCGGATCTCGAGGCATTTACGACGACCCGCGCGTTTCCAATAGTAATTCTAAGCCCCTGGTTGTCTCACTCTCCTCTTTCTCGTAGCTTGGCCGCAGTAGTGGAGATCGCGTGGGCGAACGAGCGACTTTATTGGCCGGTCCACAATGACATTCGTGGGTACGTTGCCCGTTGCAGCGCGACTATTTCGCGGAGGGAGGGGGGGAATCGTAGATTACTTGGCACCCTTGGAGAAAGAAATGTTTTTTTTTTTTCTTGGATCGAATTAATAGAAATTATAATCCAGGTAAAAGTATAGCAAGAAATCGGAGGAGGAATCGGTTTCTTCGTCTTTCGTGCTTGTTTTAACTTTTAATCAAAAATTGAACAACGATTGTTAATTATTGTGAGGGAATTGAATTATAATTGAATTTTTACGTTGATCATAATATATCTTTTTTTTATAGAGATATTAAGATTAGAGACTGTCGCTATTAAAATGATTATTATTATTATTTAATAAAATATATTTCAATCTTATTTAATATTTAAATCTTTTCCTTTTTCTAAATAATCCAATCCAACGTGAACATTTTTATTAAAATTAATATTAACTTTCATTAACATCAAACGTATACCTATTACATAATTTTACTAATAATATTTAGAATAACTTCCTTATTCCATTTTAAACTCGACTGCATCGTGCCAATATCCTCCTCAAACATTTTCCAACATGTTCAAACGTCAAAAATATCCAATTCACGGAATCGAATGTCAATTTCTCGAAAATGTCTAATCTCAATAATAAAACTCGAGAGAAGAAAGAAGAGAAAAGAAAAACAGAAGCCTGAGATCAATCGTCAATAGAAAATTCCTATAATTCTATTTCGAGGCGCGCTTACCTCATCGCGCGTCAATAAAAGATGATCGTTCGACGGTTGAGCAGAACGACGGGGATTAGCAACCACATCCCTCATAAAACCGTGAATGTTTGTTAAAGTTTCCCGGGTGTCGTGGCGGGTCCAACTTCGATACAACGACGGTTGTATCCAAGGCCAACAGAGAGAAGACAACAAAAGGGTGGGCAAATAATCGTGGAACAATGGCCGGTCCCGCGATCGCCGTTTACGCTGTGCAAACGAACGCCCGAAGCCTTACGGATTCTAAACACGAGACGTCCTACCCTTTGCTTTCGCTCTCGAAACGGGGGCGGCCTGTCCAAGTGCTCAGGAATTTTATAGGGTTAATTGCGGGGTTGGCTGCGATTTTTGACTTTCAGCTTGCAATAAGAGAGAGAGAGAGAAAGAATTTTGGAAAATTTTGAACTATCTGCGATTTGGATAGAAAAATATCGATCAAAAATTAAAAGTAATTTTCTGTTGGATAATCTAAAATTTATAAATTAACGTCTATTTACGTGACGATTTGTTAAAAATAAAAATGTTAAAAATGGATCTGCTGTTCCTTTTGCTGCAAGATTATTCTCGATTATTCGTAAGGTGATATTAATTTTTTGAATGATGCGTGAATTAATATGCATAACACGCTGATTCTACTCGAATCATTTAATTTCCTTCTCCAAGTTTAGATTAGGTTTTGGTGATAAGGAATAAGGAGATTAATAATTCGAAATTGAAAAGCTGTCTTATGTAAATTAAATCGTTTGCTTCATTTTTATAGTATAGATATATAATTAAGATGTATTATTGTTAAATATTATATTAACGAGATAGGTATAGTGTAC